TAACGAACACATTGATTATACTGTAGGCAAGATCGCAAACAAATTATACTTTACGCAGAGAACCTGCAGATACTTGAGTAGAAGGTATAGGACGATGGTATATAGATCTATAATCGAACCTCATTTTATTTATTGTCCAACTATTATTTCATAATGATAGTCATATTTATAAATTGCAAAAGCAACAGAACAGAGCCACGCGATTCATCCTAAAAAAACGTTATGACACACCTATCAGAAACATGTTGGCGGAATTAAACTGGCTGAGTGCTAAACAACAACTTTTTTACTACACAATGAAATTTATTAGGAAGATTGTAGATGGCAACTTGCCTGATTACTTAAAAAGCAACATAAAGTATGTCAATAATGTACACTCCAAAAATACTCGAAATAAAAATGATTTCAATCTACCTGCTTATAAAACGGAAGCAGATAAATGTAACTTGTATTATAAAGGATTGAGATGCTCTTATGAATTACCAAATGATGTTAAATCAAGCAATATGAATGAATTTAAACAAAAATTGTAATTATTGTAGGATCCTTCCTATTTAGTGATGCATGGGCAATCTTCCAGACTTGCAATCGCAATGCATACGCACCAAGTATACTGTTGCATTACGCCAACATATACCCTTCCGCACGCATCCGAAAAGCAGCCGAGGCTCATCACAAAACGCATCACTAGATCAAATCTGTGAATCGCTATTAGATGCTTGTTTCGCACTTTGCATGCATACGCGGTGGCTCAACCGCAGCCAAATAGTGCAATCATTGTAATGATTTGTTTTGGAAGAATGCCTCATTGTTTTTCATTGCAGTTGGTGTCCATATAAATGGCCTATANTACTGTAAAAACGTCCGCAAAGGTTGCTGTTGAACAGGCAACAGGTGGTTTTTGCCGCGGTTTTTGAAGAACTTGTGCGCTGTTGTTGCAGTAAAGGGTAGGTTTTTGATTTCTTGATCTACTGAACTGGGAAGGTTTATTAAAATGGGTCATTTATATTTTATATTGTAATTGTATCTGAAATGTTTCAAAATTTCTTAATATAATTCTCTTCTCATGGAGAAAATTTTAATTTTTTAATACAAATCTTAACTAAAGATACTTACAAATATATAAAATATTCATTCCAACATATTTGCAGTAAAATCAATTATTTTGTACATACATAAGTTAATTTTCAATGAAATAAAAGTTTTATTCCGTCAAACTTAGTGAAATATTTATTGAGTCTCCTTGATTGCTTTTACTACTTTGCGGACTTTTATAGAATATATTGCACAAATTTAAGGTAGCCCTAATAACTACCCAAAACAACTTTTGAATATTTTTTTACTTAGGGTATTATGAGGCTCTATGAACCTTGTAATTAAGAGGAAACATTTTTATATTCAGGGACACATTTGACCGGAAAGAGTTAATTTACTTTTGTCCACCTAGATTGTACTAGGCGATTCAATGTGCGACTGAATAGATTTGCATGAAAATTTGTACACGGATAGCTTATGACCTAGGTTGGAAAATAGGCTACTTTTCCTACGAGTTGCCACCAGTAAAAAAAGTTTAATTAAATTAATACGCGGAAATGACTGAACGGATTTGCATTAAATTTTGCACACCCATAGCTTATGGCCTAGATTGAAAACTAAACTACTTCTTTAAGATTTTCCACCTGCTAAAATGTTTAATTATATTAATACGCGGAACTGATTTGCATGAATTTTGCACGCAGATAGCTTATGACCTAGATTGGAAAATAGGCTACTTTTTTTAAGAGGTTCCACCTGTTACAAAGTTAAATTTGATTAATATGCGGACACACATGAACGGATTTGCATGAAAATTTGCACACAGATAGTTATGACCTAGGATGGAAAATAGGCTACGTTTCTTAAGAGTTGCCACCTGTTACAAAGTTAAATTTAATTAATATGCGGAAATTAATTAACCGATTTGCATAAAAATTTGCACAAAGATAACTTATGACCTAGGATGGAAAATAGCCTACTATTCTTAAGAGTCGCTACCTGCTAAAAAGTATAATTTAATTAATGTGCGGAAGCGAATGAACAGATTTGCGTGAAATTTTGCACGCAGATAGCTTATGGCCTACATTGGAAAATAGGTTACTTTCTTAAGAGTTGCCACCTGTTAAAAAATTTTAATTATATTAATACGCGGAGAGGACTGAACTGATTTGCATGAATTTTGCACGCAGATAGCTTATGACCTAGAAAACAGGCTACTTTTTTTTAAGAATAGCAACCTGTCAAAAAAGTTTAGTTAATTTAATAAGCGGAAACGGCTGGAGGAATTTTCATGAAAATTTGCACACGGGTAGCTTATGACATAGGTTGGAAAATAGGCCACTTTTCTTAAGAGTTGCCATCTTGTATAGAAGTTTAATTAAACTAATACGCGGAAACGGCTGAACGGATTTGCATGAAATATGACACATAGATAGCTTTGACCTAGATTGGAAAATAGGCTGCTTCTTTGAGAGCTGCCACCTGCTAAAAAAGTTTAATTAAATTAATATGCGGAAGCCGCTGAGCGGATTTGCATGAAATTACGACTAAACTGATTTCCATAAATTTTGCACGCAGATAGCTGATTACCTAGATTGGAAAAAAATGCCACTTTTTTAAGAGTTGCCACCTGTTAAAAAGTTTAATTAAATTAATATGCGGAAGCCGCTGAGCGGATTTGCATGAAATTACGACTAAACTGATTTCCATAAATTTTGCACGCAGATAGCTGATTACCTAGATTGGAAAAAAATGCCACTTTTTTAAGAGTTGCCACCTGTTAAAAAGTTTAATTAAATTAATATGCGGAAGCCGCTGAGCGGATTTGCATGAAATTTCGCACACGGATAGCTTATGACCTAGATTGGAAAATAAAACTTGCCACCTGCTAAAAAAGTTTATTTATATTAATACGCGGAAACGACTGAACTGATTTGCGTGAAATTTTGTACACAGTTAGCTTATGACCTAGGTTGGAAAATAAGCTACATTTCTTAAGAGCTGATACCTGCTAAAAAAGGTTAGTTAAATTAATATACTTAAACGACTGGACGGATTTGCATGAAAATTTGCACACGGATAGCTTATGAACTAGATTGGAAAATAGGCTACTTTTCTTGCATGAATTTTGCACGCAGATAGCTTTTGACCTATATTGGAAAATGTGCTACTTTTTAAAGAGTTGCCACCTGCTTATAAAGTTTAAATAAATTAATATACGGATACGACTAAACTGATTTGCGTGAAATTTTGCACACATATAGCTTATGACCTAGGTTGGAAAATAAGCTACATTTCTTAAGAGCTGATACGTGCTAAAAAAGTTTAATTAAATTAATATACTTAAGCGACTGAAGAGAGTTGCATGAAAATTTGCAAACGGATAACTTATGACCTAGACTGGAAAATAAACTATTTGTCTTAAGAGTTGCCAACAGTAAAAAAAGTTTAATTAAATTAATACGCGGAAACGGCTGAACTGATTTGCATGAAATTTTTTACATGGATATCCTTCAACCTAGATTGGAAAATAGGCTACTCCTCTTAAGAGTTGCCACCTGTTAACAAAATTTAATCAAACTAATACCCGGAAACGACTGAACTGATTTGCATGAATTTTGCACGCAGATAGATTATGACCTAGGTTGGAAAATAGGCTACTTTTCTTAAGAGCTGCCACCTGCTAAAAAAGTTTAATTAAATGAATATACGGAAACGACATAACGGATTTAAATGAAAATTTGCACGCAGATAGCCTATGACCTAGGTTGGAAAATAGGCTACTTTTCTTAAGAGCTGCCACCTGCTAAAAAAGTTTAATTAAATTAGCACCCGGAAACGACTGAACTGATTTGCATGAATTTCGTACACAGATAGCTTTTGATCTAGGTTGGAAAATAGGCTACTTTTCTTAAGAGCTGCCACCTGCTAAGAATTTTTAAATTAATTAATATACGGAAACGACTGAACGGATTTGCATGAATTTTGCACACAGATAGCTTATGACCAAGGTTGGAAAATACTTTTCTGAAAAGCTTATACCTGCTAAAAAAGTTTAGTTAAATTAATATACGGAAACGCCTCATAGTGGTCCGTCTAAAACAAGCTAGCTGGACAAATTTATTTTCTAAGATTTTACGTTTCCTTTATGTTCTGGAACTCAATTTATGTAATTTTATTAACAAAAGGAATATTTTTAAGAGGGTTGCTACCTGTTGAAAAAGTGAAATTCTGTTTTAATAATAAAATGTGACATGTGTGTATGGGTGTCAAACAAAAAAGGATTAAAAAAATATTATTTCGGTTATATTTTTGAAAATCGTTGCCTCCTTTCTAAAAGCCCAAAATGGATAATATCAAATATTTTAATAAAATATTACAATATGGGTATCAAACGAAAGAGGTTTAAGGGATCTTTACTTTGAAGAAGGCTAGCAAACGAAAAATCAATCAAATCTATGAATTTATATCTTTATCTTACTTTGCTTGCTTGAATTGAAGGAAAAACTAAGTGAGCTTTTCAATTCAACGCCACAGTGAATCGCTTAGAACAAGCTAGGTGGACAAAAATATTTTATTGTACGATCTTTTTGCAGAATAACATGTTTTAAATATAAATTATAATTTAGACCCATAAAGAAAATTAACAAATTAACTACTATCGTCGTATGACTCCTCTTCAGATAAATCAGTTACTGAATAACTATCACTGTCCTTCTGATGAACATCCTTTCCTAACTGATCTGTTGGTATTGGTGGCGGGGAAATTAAATTAAAAACTTCCGCAGGTAGTTCCTCGGATTTCTCTGTAGGCAATTTCCTGAGCAAGCTGATTACAGGATCGGACGTTATTAAAAGCATTTTCAGTCTTTGAAGTTCGTGATTGTTTCCGCGTATGGTGCTCAAGGAACCTACGACAGTCTTTATTTCGGGCCTCTTGCGATTCTTCTGAGAGCTGCCCAATTGGAAGAATGAATGTTTCAATAACATCCGTGCTATGTATTAGTATTTTGTGTACAGTTACTGGCATATAGTACCACGGATACAGCTGAAGATAAAGTATTCCGGTTTCAGAACAAACTTTTTCAAACTCAAGGGAATTAACCTCGTAACCGGAGGATAACGTCCTTAACAAAATACTAAACTTTTTAATTAGACCAAAATCCAAACGTGTAATCTCTCCGCTTAGTTCCGGATTCATAAAGAACCTGCAATCTGTGCTTCCATCGTTAGAATTGCCATAACCAGGTTTTGGTTTGTCTACAATAAGGCCCATTTGGCTTTTAAACTTAAGCTTAATTTCTTCCGCAAGCTGCTGAACGCTATCATTTCTAGCTTGCCACTTTTTTATAAACTATAATAGGCCTTCAATGTCCACATCCGCTTCTGCTTATAAGAGTGACTGGTGCAGTTAAGGCCCGTCCACATAAAACTTTGGCGTTGCGTTGGCGTTGGCGTCGCTTCAACAGCTGACTATGAATACATGAATTCAAGTGCAGCCGTCCACATAGCCAAAATTCGGCAACGCTCACGCCAACACAAAGCAAAAAGATGGCCAACTCTCATCTTTTCGCGTGCGTTGCTCGTCAGCTGTTGCAAATAAATAAAATTGTGTGAAATATTTTCCCTTTTTAATCAAGTGCAGGCAAGAAATATCGTTTTTAATGCAATTATTGATATTAAATATTAATTTATCTGTCGTTAGTATGTTAATTTAGTCACCCAAGCATTCGCTGCCAAGCGTTCATTGTAGCAATCATTCTTTTAACGTGCGTTCTGTCAAACCAACGCCAACGCCAAAGCCAACGCGAAAGTCCTATGTGGACCGGCCTTTAGTGTCTACGTAATAAGCTGATGCTTCGTCTACGTTCAGCTGCTTGCCACCACAAGTAACATTATCATGTTCAATAATTTTCGGGGACTCGACACTTTTTATACCCGACCGCGTCCGTCCGTCTGTCCGTCCGTGCGCTCGTCTGTGCACACGATAACTCTCGTAAAAATTGGGATATCTTAACGAAACTTGGTACGTGCACTTCTTTTGAACGTAGGACAGATGGTAGTGAAAATGGGCAAAATCGGACAATAACCACACCTACCTCCAATATAACGGTAGTTTTGAGAAATACGAAAACTGCGGTATTTTAGTAACTACTGAAGATTATTCGCTCGAAATTGATAATTACAATAAGTTTTAGACGAAAAATAAAAATACTATAATATTTTGGAAAATGGGCGTGGCCACCCCCCCAAGACATGTGTATGGCTTGGTAACCGCTGCTCCAATTTCTTCCAAAATTGGCACAGTTGTTGGCATTGGTACAACATACCAAACGGCTAATAACCACGCCCACATCCCATATGACGGTAGTTTAGAGAAATACGAAATCTTCGATATATAAGTAAATATTAAAGCCCATTTATTCAAAATTGATTTGTATTTGATTTTTACCAAGAAATACGTTTATGATAAAATTTTGGAAAATGGGCATGGCACCGCCGACTTCTACCAATTTGTATGGTATGGTTATTGTGCTTGCACACATAGAAGCAAAACGTTGAAAATTATTGAAATCGGACTAAAATTACGGCCGCTTTTCATATAATGGTAAATTTCAGAAATGCTTAAAACTGCATAAATTCGAATTTTAAGGATGCTAATTTACTCAAAATTGATACAGCCCTGCTTACCATGTAGCGGAAGCTTTCGGAAAGGTGAAAAACATATATTTAATACTTGCGCTGAGTATTTAATGTTCGGCTCCGCCCGAACTTAGACTTTCTTACTTGTTTTGATTAAAGTAGCCTGACAAACGATTTGCTACTTCAGCTGCTGTGGGCGACTCACTGGCACTTCGTGATTGCACCAAATCTTCGACCCTTAGTTTTTTTGTTTTGAAACACATACATATCTTCAATTTTTTGCTTTGGACGGCGTTGAGGTCTACTTCCTTCAGGTGGTGAAAAAGCTCTTATCTGGTGTACGCTAATGCTTAGTTATAGTAAAGTATATTTCCGTCCTCTAACAAAGTTTTATTTTTACTCATGAAACTGTCCATCGTCCTTTTTGCTGCCGTCCATTTTTCGACGAAATGATTGAAATTTTTAATTGTAAATATCTCCGGGAGTTGGATGTCATATTTTGAAGGTTGAATTTTTGGGAAAAAAATCCATCAAATGAGAATTTCGTTGCTCTTTCTCATGTTTACGCAATTCTTCAGCTCCATTTTTGAAAGCGCGCATTCATTATCTGAAAAATTTTGTTTATAAATTTTCAGGCACGAATAGGCCTTTTTTTACATTCCCGTATAGTCTAAAGTAGCTGTTATACAATATAAAAAAATTAGGTTGGATACATGTGGATACAAAAACATATATGTACATATATTAAGAACATATATTAAAAATGAAAAAACAAAAATAATATTATAAGTTTTAAGTATTTATTTCAAAATTCTTACTAATATTATAAATGTGAAAGTTTGTATGTTTGGATGATTGGGAAATCATCACGCGGAAACGACTGAACGGATTTGCATGAAATTTTGTACGCAGATAGCTTATGGGCCAGATTGGTTAATATACTATTTTTTAAGAGTTGCCACCTGTTAAAAAATTTTAATTTATTTAATATGCGGCCACGACTGAACGGATTTGCATGAAAATTTGCACACAGATAGCTTATGACCCAGATTGGAAAATAGGCTACTTTTTTAAGAATTGCCACCTGTTTGAAAATGAAATTTTGCTCACAGATGGTTTATGACCTGGATTGAAAAATAGGCTACTTCCTTAACCGGTTCCCCATATAGCTTATGACCTGGCTTGGAAAGTAGGCTACTTTTCTTAAGAGTTGCCACCTGTTAAAAAGTTTTATTAAATTAATACGCGTTAACGACTGAACGGATTTGCATGAAAATTTGCACACAGATAGCTTATGGCCTAATAAAGGCTACTTTTCTTAAGAGTTGCCACCTGTTAAAAAGTTTTATTAAATTAATACGCGTTAACGACTGAACGGATTTGCATGAAAATTTGCACACAGATAGCTTATGGCCTAATAAAGGCTACTTTTCTTAAGAGTTGCCACCTGTTAAAAAGTTTTATTAAATTAATACGCGTTAACGACTGAACGGATTTGCATGAAAATTTGCACACAGATAGCTTATGACCTTTTTTTTAAGAGTTGCCATCTGTTAGAAATGTTTAATTAAATTAGTACGCGGAAATGAGTGAAGTGATTTGCATGGAAGTTTTCACACAGATAGCTTATGACCTTTTTTTTAAGAGTTGCCATCTGTTAGAAATGTTTAATTAAATTAGTACGCGGAAATGAGTGAAGTGATTTGCATGGAAGTTTTCACACAGATAGCTTATGACCTTTTTTTTAAGAGTTGCCATCTGTTAGAAATGTTTAATTAAATTAGTACGCGGAAATGAGTGAAGTGATTTGCATGGAAGTTTTCACACAGATAGCTTATGACCTTTTTTTTAAGAGTTGCCATCTGTTAGAAATGTTTAATTAAATTAGTACGCGGAAATGAGTGAAGTGATTTGCATGGAAGTTTTCACACAGATAGCTTATGGGATAGGTTGTAAAATGGGATAATTTTGTTAAGAGTTGCCACCTGCTAAAAAAGTTTCTTTAAATTAATACGTGGAAACGTCTAAAACGATTTGCATGAAATTCTGCAAGCAGATAGCTTATGACCTACAGTGGAAAATAGGCTAATTTTTTGGAAGAGTTACCACCTGTTAAAAAAGTTTAATTAAATTAAATTAGGATTTGCTGCCTATTAGAAAGGTTTAATTATATTAATACGCAGAAATGACTGAACTGATTTGCATGAAAGTTTGCACACAGATAGCTTATGACCCAGATTGGAAAATAGGCTACTTTTTTAAGAATTGCCACCTGTTTGAAAATGAAATTTTGCTCACAGATGGTTTATGACCTGGATTGAAAAATAGGCTACTTCCTTAACCGGTTCCCCAATCAGAACAAAGTTTGGTACACTTACTACGGATTTCGCAGGGATGGTCTTAGACTGAAAGTAATTCCGATAACTCAAGGCCCCTCCCATACAAATTGGAATTTTCATATTACATGCATATCTCTGGAAGTATTTGTGGGAGAGAACTGGAACTTGGTATAGAGATATGTATGTGAAATCAGATTCTATTTTTATCAGATTTTATTTTTAATTGGATTAACGATTAATGATAAAATCAATTCTAAATTCATGGAAGAAGATTAGGGTTATAAGAAAAAGGGGCGTGGCCCTTCCTGTACAAATTGACTCTTTCTTGCCACATATCCCTGGAAGTATTTGCGGAAGAATACTGGAACTTGGTATGGAGTTGTGTATACAAAATCTATCAATTGCTAATGGAAAAAACGTGAGTTATTAAAAAAGGAGTCACGTCGCCTCCCATACATACTAAAAATGTCTTAATATATCTCTGGAAGGATAGAAAATCTCTGGAAGCATTTTAAATTTGTTACGGAGATTAATTTTATAAGTGCCGTACTGACAGAAAAAATTTCATTTAATGTAAAGCTCTCATGATGCATACAAACCTTTTGAGGATGAGGAGTGGTATTTTATCAAGGTCAGGTTACTAAATTTGAGTTGGATATATTAGAACCCGCCGTAGCACCTCCACGAAGGTTACACGTTCACACGTCGTATCCCTGGAACCATTTTAATGTAAACTTAGAGGGATTAATATCTTTCGTATGCCTAGCGCGCAGACGAGATTTTATAAATTCATAATTTTGAACGGCCTAAATACCTTAACTCGCTTAAAAAATAACGAGCTATAACAAAATTGGCACATAAATAAAATATAACATCATTAAATTATTTTTCATATTTGTATAAAAACGTGGGGTGAAACCCGCGGGTATAAGCTACATAGTATCACATAAATCCTCTTTCTTTGATCAAATTTTCTATTAAGAAAATAAAACTCA